CAGCTGATCTTCATATGGGAGGTGCTCCAGTCCCCTGATCATTCTCGTGGCCCTCCTCTGGACTTGTTCTAACAGGTCCATGTCCTTTTTATGTTGAGGACACCAGAACTGCACACAATACTCCAAGTGAGATCTCACGAGAGCAGAATAAAGGGGCAGGATCACCTCCTTGGACCTGCTGGTCACACTCCTTTTGATGCAGCCCAGGATACGGTTGGCTTTCTGGGCTGCAAGCGCACACTGAAGCTGGCTCATGTTCATTTTCTCATCGACCAGCACCCCCAAGTCCTTCTCCACAGGGCTGCTCTGAATCTCTTCTCTGCCCAACCTGTACCTGTGTCTGGGATTGCTCTGACCCAGGTGTAGGACCTTGCACTTGTCACAGTTAAACTTCATGAGGTTGGCATCAGCCCACTTCACGAGCGTGTCAAGGTCCCTCTGGATGGCATTCCTTCCCTCCAACGTATCAATCGAACCACACAGCTTGGTGTCATTGGCAAACTTGCTGAGGGCGCACTCAATCCCACTGTCCATGTCAGTGACAAAGATGTTGAACAATACCGGTCCCAACACCAGTTCCTGAGGGACACTACTTGTTACAGGTCTCCAGTCTGACACTGAGCCATTGATCACAACTCTTTGTGTGAGGCCATCCAACCAGTTCTTTATCCACCGAGTGGTCCATTCATCAAATTGATGTCTCTCCAATTTAGAGACAAGGATGTCATGTGGGACAGTGTCGAACGCTTTGCACAAATCCAGGTAGATGACATCAACTGCTCTACCGCTGTCCATCAGTTCTGTAGCCCCATCATAAAAGGCCACCAAATTGGTCAGGCAGGATTTCCCCTTAGTGAAGCCATGCTGGCTGTCACCAAGCACCTTGCTGCTTTTCATGTGCCTTAGCATACCTTCCAGGAGAATCTGCTCCAAGATTTTGCCAGGCACAGAGCTGGGACTGACTGCTCTGTAATTCCCTGGGTCATCCATTCTCCCCTTCTTGAAAATGGGGGTTATATTTCCCTTTTTCCAGTTGTCGGGAACTTCACCTGACTGCCATGATTTTTCAAATATGATTTTTCAAACTTAACCTCCAATTTTTCACAGAAAATTGAAATACCGTTTTTCAGAAATGTCACAAAAATTACAAATGCCTTCACAAAAATCATTGCAGATATATGTTGGAATTTTGTGTAGTTTTTTGACTTAGTTGTTAGATTTCGTGTTCCTTAGAAACCTAGAGACCTCTACCCAAATAAGGCTTTGTGCAAATAGATTTAAGCTGTACCTGTTTTCTCTGTGAATACTACTGTAGCATCAGAACAGGGTTACTTGTATTTCTGTTACATGGCATTCACTAATCAGTGTTCAAGAGCTGAGCACTGAATAGGGAATATTTGGAAAAGATGCAAGTCAGCTTTTAAAAGTTTCTTGTATTAAATTAATCAATCTGTCATTTAACTGTGCATTCCCACTCCTGCCCCCAGGTGCTACTGTTATCACCCAGCTCTGCTTGCACTGCTGCAGGATGGTGCCCTTCAGGGAGATTTTGACCCTTGTCCACCCTTGGCCCCTCCTGGTGCAGTCTCCTGCTGCTCCCAGGCATGACTGGCAGTAGAAAGGTGTGGGATAAATGAGCGTGGTAGACACAGATTTACAAGTTAATGCTGCTCATCTGATTCATTTGAATGCAGATGGTTAGGGAAAGATCCACCTAAGTATTACAATATATAGAAAAAGGCATTCTCACTGGCACAGCCACACATGTGGCTTCAACTTGTTTTTGTATCTGCTTGCAGAAATACCTGATTTGATCATGTCCTTCAACTGGGCAGAATATACATTTTATGTGTTGCAAACCAAACTGGCATTTTAAAATCCCATCTTGAAAAGCATCACCTTTTGCAACAAAGTCTGACAGAAAACCATTTATTGCCCTAAGTTTTGCAGTATGTTTAGAAACTGGTGGAAAACATTCAAACATGGAAAAATCAACATTCAAGGCATGTCACTGTGGTAGAGAGGGTTTACAGCTCGTGTGTAGAAGTGGCAGGAAAGAAATTACAGAGCTTGGTGCTTATTTCTCTGTGAAGAGGTTGTGGCTCTGTAACTTCAATGCTGATTACAAGCAAAATTGATGCTTGCAGATTTACTGAGGCACTAATGTTTGTGTCAAATGTAGTTACGTCATTGTTCTTTGGTGTCATCTTTATTTCCCTTGGATGTATTTATCTGGTTGGCAGATAGCTATCAAATGGGTTGTCAGTTTAGCGGTATAAGGAAGGGTATACAGGCCAATAATTTCCATTTCTCCTTCATTACAGGACTTCCTATGAGTTTCAGCTGTGGTAAAGGGAGAGTTGTGTATTTCTATCTTCATCTTTTGTGTACCATGCATGCTTCAACAGTTTGACTATACAATAAGTGTCTCTGGCAAGGAGATATAGATGTGAACAAAGAAAAAAATGTGGCATGTTTGCTAACAACATAAATTTTTGCAGTGTTCAACTCATTTAGGAATAAGCCCAGTTCTCAAACTGTCTGCACTTGGGCCATATTCATAATCTATTATATATTAAAAGCACTCTGTGTCATTCTGATTTGATTGTTATTAAATAGAATGAAATTAAATGAAAGGCCTTTTCTTTCTTTTTTTTTTTTCAAGACTAGTGTGCTGAGTACCTTGTGTAAATTAAAACCGTACATGTTCTCTATGCAATCGTTTGTACTGGAGAGACAGTAGGATGCTATGAGATTAAATTGGTACAGTTTGTCCTCAATCTCTGCTTAGCATTTGGTCTCCAAGGCTAAATAGAAATACAGGATATATCTGTGTGCTATGTTATGTCCAGTGGCAAGTCTGTCTTCAAAGATCTGCAGCTTCTTTCTGCCTCCTGACCCTGCCTGCCCTTTCCCACATCATGTCACAATTTCACTCCCCCATCTGTGCTAATGCAGTTGTTTCTGGTACTATGCTGTGGATGAGATCACAACACTAAGCTGACTTAAGAAAATTATTATTTGCTTTGATTAGCGACCCAATTTACAGGACAGCCCCATGGGGAGTTTTAGTGGTACACCAACAAGGGCAGCATGCATGAATACAGTTAACTCCCGCAGTCGCAAAAGTAAACCACAAATCAGACTGAATCTGGCTCTAAAGAGAGAATCTACTCTAAAAAGCTGCACTGTGGTATATTTAACTAACTTTGATCACTGTCTGAGTCAGGAGATCTTGAGAAACGAATAAAATGGAGTGTGGATCTATATCATAGGAAATGCTCATCCAGAGACCGCATTCAGACTGTGTATATGACCTTAATTGTTTATCTTTTTGAATACTGCCTTTGCATCTTTGATGTCCATTTAAATCCATTTTTTGGGGTAAGATTAATAAATCAGTCCTCAGTGTATGTCCTCTTCCTTTTTGTACATACAGTAAAATTTTTTCCAATGTGGCTAATAAATAAAAGTGAGGTATTATTAACTGAAATTTCTGCTGAAAACTTACATAGGTCCATTAAGGCTATGGTCCCAATTTGGCTTCCACTGCAAAACATCCTGTTACAATTCTTTCACTGCTTTTTTTCAAATACTTGAAGAATCATTAACTTGAAGGCCATGGTCATAATTCCTCCCAATATGTTCTTTCTAGTACTAAAGAAGTACCAAAGTCTACCAACTTTTAGAACATGATTATTCTTTTTCTGAGTTCTTAAAACCGTGGCTTATTAGACATGGCCTATAGATTTATATGTTTGCTTGTATTTCTTTTTTGCATTAGAAGCTTTTTCCAGGGTATATAAAAGCACAGGAGCTAGGATATAATGAGTAGCATGAAAATGTGGGAAAGGAAATAATAATAGTTCAGAAAAAATATTTTATAGAAAAAGGTGTAAGGCCTCTTATAATTGTATATGTAGAAGCAGTCTATTTGGGAATATTTGAAACATAAGATGTTAATGTTCTAGGAGAAACAGGATTAAATATCTGTATGTTTTTTGTCTGTAAATTGAATTTTAAGCCAGTCCAAACAACATCCACAAACTTTTTCAGCATTTTAAAAAATCCTCAATGCTAAAATTTAAAACTGAAAGATAAGGTAGCTGGCATCACTGGATAAATTTCCAGATAAACTTCCTTCAGACATCTGAATGACAGCTACAGAGGAAACCAAATGGCTTTCATAGCCATGTGGGTGAGAGGATCTAGAAACCATTCCGGAGCATCTAAGAAAGTGGGGTACTCTGCAGAATTCTACCCCCTTTTTCAGGCAGGATCATACTGAAAGAATTCCAGATGAGGAATGCTGTGGAAGCTATGAAAGAATTATCTAGTTAAATATAGTTTGAAAATTGCATTTCATGTTGTCTTATTTGTAATAAGTTGTTTCAAATCTTATACTTCCAAGCCTGACCTGTCTTGTTAATTACATTTGTTTCACCATCAAGCCTGTCAGTGTTGTAGATGCAAGGCGAATCAGGGTAAATTGTTAAACTTAGGAAGTAATCTGCATAAAGGCAGAAGTAAGGAATCTCAGTGAAACTGCAAGAAGATGTAAATATAAACCATCGGATCTATCAGCATCTGGCTCCTTTTGAGAAGATTTTTTTTTTTTTTTAATCAGTTGCAGGATGCTAAAGCTGTGCAATTTAAATATGTCTGAAGTAAAAGCTGTCTTTTGTGAGAAAAAAATTCCATTTAACTTCCTCTACATGCTGAAGTGTAGACCTGTACACAACATCAGAGTGTGCCTGTGTGGGCAATGTGGAACATCCTTGCTCAGGAAGGCACTTAAGGAGTTTAAACAGTGGTAATCATAAGTAGATACACTGCAGGAGAGTTTTTATTTTTTTCAGTAATAATTATAAAGAAAGTGAACCACTTCTTCCATTCTTTTGACCCTAGCATGCTAACTCTACATAGTAAACTAAACAGTCATGAAAAATTAATCACTTAGGAAATTAGTATCTTCTTATATTTCAGTCAGTGAAACTTCACCAGCGCCATCCGTTCAGTGACAGACAGGACGATGTTGATGTGGTACACTTTATCTTGATTCACTCAACCTTCAGCCGATCTCTTGTATAGGTGGCAGCCGGAGCAGCCCTGTGAAATAGTCACGATGCCTAAACATGAAAAGCCAAACGACACTGAAGAATATGGTAATTAAAACTATAATTACGCATCTCAAGCACATATTTTCTGCATGTAGCTCAGCAGAGTGCAAGTTCTGTTTTCTTGTTCTTTCTAATACAAAATCTCCTTTGCCACAATTCATTATCTTTTTGTTCATAAATGTGTTTTAATTGGCTTTTGAAAACAGCTTTGCTGTGTGAGTTGACTAGTTGTAGAATGGCAGTGTGGTTTTCCACTGGTTAGGAAATGAAAAGAGTACAATGACAGCCCTGTTACCTTACATTTGTAAGTACTTTTTAGGGAATATAAAGAATGCAAGGATTTGTCATGGTTTCTGTAAGCTGTACAAAGGTAATGTTTCCTTTTCTTATTGCTTTCAGTATTTGGTATGAAATGTCAAGCATTCTTCATAGTAAGATTAGTAACAGTATTTCTATATTGATACTGCTCTGTTCTGTACATAAGAAATGTTTTGAAGGATGATCATGCCTAATGGCTTATCCTGGAAAAGTGCAAGGGAACTCTTTGGTATGGTAAGTGCTTTCAGTTCTCATGGGCAATACTACTCAAAATATGGAACTTCTTCATATGGAACAGGCATGATCTTTCTCATCTTCAGCATGCGGCCTTATTCTAGACTGGTTTCTGCATTAGTTTATTAAGTCTTGCTAAGAAACAGGGCTGGTAGTACTAAACATTGCTTTATATATTTTTAATCCACTTTTGTAATAGGCAATAGTAATAAAATGCTTCAGCTTCCACAGAAAACATCAGAATGGACTGCTTAGCATTTCAGCAAAATATTACTGAATATGTAGTTCATTTTAAGAGTCCATCCTGCTTTCTTTCCTTTTATTGTCTGACCACCATCATCGCTTTTCCTCCCCATGTTTTTTTGCAAGTCCCTTTCCTGACCAATTTCATTTTCAAGCTGTGCATGCTGATGGAGCTCATTTTAACATGAGAGAAGCACAGAATTTAACATTGCACAGCCAAAATACCTCCCAGCTTCAGCAAAATTTTTACCTGAGTAAGAAACAAAACTAATATGACCATAGAACATATGTATTTTTTCATTTTCTAATGAATAAGTTCTTAGAATATCAAGGTTCTAAGTTTACCATGAATACCTGCCTTCTACTTGCAGGTATCTAACTGACTTGATTTAATTTCTGTTCAGTGACTTTATTATTCATTCAAATAATAGGGTAGCATTCCCACAGTGAACAAAAACCACATCTCTTAATTGGAGAAGGTTGGATCATGAACACTCTTTGCCACATTTTGCTTGAAAATTTATCTTGTACTTAATATGTAATAAAATATAACTACCTTAATGTCTGCTGTTTGGATATTTAGAGATGAGGTGATATGAGCAAATTCAAGACTCCATCTTGATCTAAGATTTAAAAAACAGGAGCTCCATTATAAGTAACTATGAGATGCTTTCAGGATGTGGTTCTCCATCCACTTTTGATTTAAAATGTTACAAGTGCTGGAGTTAGCACAGAATCAGGTACAAATCTAGTAACAATTTCTTTACAGGAGGTTTTGCTTTGTTATTGACAGAAGGCCCTAAGGAATATTCTTGCAAAGAATGGATGACAGTTGCAAGAATGCAGTTTGATATCTGTTTGATATCCGTAGCTATCTGCTGTTTGATATCTGTAGCTCTAGTGAAGCTGAAGCCCTCATTTGGACATTATTATTGGTTCGTAACATGTCTTCTGAAAATCTATGATAGTAGGAGATATATGATTTATTACTCTAAATTCATGAGTATGAATTCATTGTTCTAGGCGTCTCCTACAGGAAGACAGGGCACAAATCTTCAGAGCAGATGTTTAAAAGAGATCAGATGGAATGTACTTTTTGTCCTTTAAAAATAACAAAGAGAATATCTGGTGAGCTGGTCAGCTGTAGGTATCAACCTTAAAAGAGATGTCTTCTCATGAGGTAGTCAAAAATCCAATTGACTTTGGATACATCAAGAATGCCACATTTGTATCTTGAACATAACAACCTGTTTTCTCCATACCTAACACGTTCTTCCCGTGTTAACAGTACTATGAATGACTCACAATAAGCTAAGTATGTCATTTTTCAGAACATGAAAAAGTCAGATTGGTATGATTTACTGCATTTCCACACTCCTCAAAATGCACTGGACACTCAATATTCTGATCCTAATTCTTGCAGTAAAGACTGCAATGAAAATGAAAAATTGTCTACCAGCAGGACATCTGTGTGATGAAGACACAATGCAAGCATGATTTCTCCTTGTTGTTTTATTATAGCAACCAATAGGTCCTTCAAGCTTGTCACATCTCTAGTCTTGGGTAGGAAAAAGCACTACCTGGTTAGGTCTTTGTCTGGCCCAGGTAGGGTTGTGGAGCTGTATCCATAATGATGATGTAAAACACAGTGGCCTGGAAACTTTTATGCATGCTTTCCTGAAGGGGGTGAAATAATGAGGGGATTCTCACTCAATTATCTTCCTCCTGTAACTTCTGTGGGTTTTATAAAAGCAAAATCAGATTTGGCCTAAAATTCTTGGACTGAATTGTGCAATAAAATTATTCATCCCTGAAGGGGAATTTTGCCTAAGAGAAGTCCTGACCCACAAACAGAAGAAACACTCAAACCTTATGATGTGTAAATACAGCCCAGAAGTAAACTAAAGATAGGAGAGTGTTATCAGATTATGTGCCCAAAGCCAGCCACAGTGCCAACTTGATCTGTGCTAGCTCTATCTCTGTTGTTTTAGTAGAACATTTGTAATTTTCCTTACCAGTGGAAAACAGATGAGAAATCTATGGATGTGAATTGAATGGATTCCATTTGTTTCCTATTGTCCTTATGTTAATTTTCAAACACTGACTGAGCTACAGTAAGTTGGGAAAATTGTCCTTACTGGCAATCTACAGAGATGAAAAGTTTATTGTCCCACAGTCAATTTCTGGAAAATCTTTGAGTATAGAACTTTGCAAGCCACAGTTTGTACATTAATACTAATGAGTCTTTGGAGACACTAGTTGCTTTGTGACATTGTAGTATAAATATTTTGCCTACATTAGTATTTACAACCTTGCTAATTTAGGTGCAGAAAAGTAAGCACTATATTTGCTAGTGTAAGTGTAACTGTATAGGAGTTAGTTTACTTCATAAATTCTTAACTATTGCTGGACAGGATATTTTTTTGGGCACTGATTTTCATTTTAGTCTATTGGAAGAAACAAATTCAACATCGTCTGGGAAAAAGATAGAAGAAAAATCAAGCATGGCCTGAAATACTAAGCATTCTGGTTGTTCTGTAAATGTAATTTTTATTTGCAATTTCTGTGGGTCAAGTCCACTTCTCCTATGTCTAATGTGGGCCAAGTTATTTTTCCTGGTGTTTGGAAATACTCTAAGAGGATGGGATCTACATTGTTAAAGTCTTGAATATTGGATCTTGAAGCCTGCACAAGTTCACTCTTGCCATATATGTTCTTCAAAATCATGGCATGTTGTTTTATTGTGTTACACAGCTGTTACTTCTGGTGGCATTTATCCTCACAGAAGTGTTGCAAGACACTCGCATATTTACATGATCAGAAAGAATAGTATGAAAATGTATGTAAATATCTAAACTTGAATATTACACAACTTTTCCTGCTCCTTTTGAGTAGTACTTCGCATGCATTAATTGTCTGATAAGCTTTTGTGTTACTGACATACCTATATGTTGGACAACTGGTTTATTATCTGTCTATGCTAATGTCTTTCTGGCACTGAAAAAATTCCATCATGTTCTAGACCAGGGGAAGGCACAATAATTGCTTTCAAAGCTCTATCTGCATATGATTCAGTTCATTGGCTTGACAATTAATTAGTAAAATAAAAATTAATTTTATAACATATATAAAAGGTCTGAATGCGTTTTTTGACTTTCAGATTACTTTGCATATCACTGATTTGTGGGGTTTTTTTTTGTTGTTTTTTTTTAAGACACCAGCACACAGAATTGCTTAGCAGCTGCCAGTTTTAGATAGTAGTAATGTGAGCAGTAGTATTACAACGGAGGGCCATATTTTACTGGGTAGTTACAAGAATCATTACTCCTCTCACAGTGAAAAGTCAAGGAAACTATGTCAGTGTAAAACAAGTTCTAAAAATTCCAGAACATGAAATCTGAATAATACGCTCTGATAAGTGGTGTACAAACAACCTGGGAAAACAAGGTAAAGTTAAAACAGCACCCACAGTCTGCTAAATGGACACCTCATGTAGTGAAAAGTCCCATGGTTTCGTACTTTTTTTTCTGGCCTTAATTGCCAGCCAGTACTTCAACATTTTGATCTTTCTACCGAGCTGTCTGATATTCTGTCTTCACTGCAGTCTGTGACTTACAGGTTAGTCTGAGCTCATATTCAGGACACCCTCCTTTAGTCTTGTTGGCTCATCTGTGGCTATAGTCTAAAACATAAATAAGACTTCAGGTAAAACGATAGCTTACTCAGATTACACTTTCCCTGCCCTTAGTCTAGAAAGATGAGAAAGTTTCCCTTAAACTACTGTGGAAAAAAAAAAATTCAGAAAGTGATTGGGTTTCCTAGAGTATAAACAGTTATGGAGTATAGCTCCAAATATGCTCAATGATATATGTGTCATTAGGGCAGGATAATGTATCCTGGAATATGTAACTACTGAGCAATGGTTGCTCTGGGTCACATAAACTGAAGTTATCTGACTCAAAGCCTAATAATCTGATACTAGCCCTATGAATATTGATACCGTGAAGAAATGAGGTCCTATCAATCCTTTTCTGGAACAAGAAGTAGTTTTAGATGGTGCTTTAGTGAGACATAGTTGATTTTAGAAGAAGATTCACTGAATTTTTGATAACTGGGATCACATGAAGATCTGTTTTAAAAAATAGAAGACAGGTATATCAGCCTAAAAAGATCTTATTTATTCCTGCAACAGAGACTGCACATTCTTATTTTGACAAACCAGAGATGAAAAGTGGTAATCAGTTTTCTTATAGGATGATAATACAGTGCCTGAGGAATGCACTTTGCACTTTACTGTTTCTCTGCGTTGTGATTTATAGAAAATTTAAATGTAGTGCTAAACTGCATTTGGATTTAGTGACACCATGAATTGTAATTTGTGTGTCACTGAAATGCTTCTCCAGTAATTCAGTAAGACGGGGTTTGCCACAAGTACCTAAAGTGCTGAGTTATGAGCTGCCTAGCCTCTTGCCTTCCTATGTAACTCACATGAATGCATGCATATTCCCTATGCAGAATAGACCTTAGGGATGTTAAAACTCCTTCACCCCCCCTCCCAAGCGATTTTGTTCCTCCTTGGTGTGATAGCACCTGCTATTATCACAGCTGACACAAGGGAGAAACATTTTACCCTGAGCTTCAGCTTTTATCCTAGTGACACAGCTCATGACACAGAGTATGAGAAAACTGGAAGAGCCCTCCTTGGATTCCATCTTCTTTAAAAAAAATACTAGGACAATGCTTTCCCTGTCATAGCTCAAGACTCGGGAGGGTTCCCTTCTTCTATGGATACACCAGAATACGGACAGACGTCTAATATTCTTTATATCTACATGTTTCATCTCTATGTAAGCATGAGGCTGTGGAGGCTGGAATGTTCTAAAGCTCAGTTTGCAGTTATAATTTCAAATTTTCGCAGAAATAGTTTTGAAGCTGCACTAGTGCTTGTTTAGTCTGTCTGTAGTACCCCCCTCTTCTGGCTGCCTGATTCCATGTAATCACTGGTCATGTTTTCTACTGGTCAGGGCCTGTTTTGTGGCAATATATACTTCCATTTGATTTTATGCGACTTCTTAATTTCTTCAAAAACTTCTTCAATTTGAACCTCATCATTTAAGTGAAAAAAAAAAAAAGACATAAACATATGAAGTCTCTTTTCAGATACACTCCCCTCTAGTATTGTTCCACTATTTTCTTCGAGCACCCTGAAATCTAATTAGTTATTTTACCTGAAATACTGGATTCAGGTATATTTCCCTTATGCTATTAGAATTAATTAAAACCCAACAGCTCCCTTCTGCCCTGCCTAAGTAACTGTTGCATAGTCCATTGTCACTTTCACTGTTATGTCAATAAGAGGTCAGCTGAACTACGAAAACGCTTCTCACTGCTAATGCATGTTTCAGTACGTATGATAAATCTGCAGCTGTTTGCTTGTTATATGACCTCATCAGAATCTGCAGTGAAGCCAATCTTATACCACTGAAGTGCTTTCCCGGGAATTTCTGTTTGCCTGGAGGAGATCAGCAACAGCATTAGTTGCAATAAAAGACCATGCCCTATTGTTGCATGCAAAGTATATCTTTAGAAGTGTCTGTCTTCATCTTTGCAAGCTTTCAATAGTGGCGTAATGATCTTTGTCAAATGGAGATCCTGTTACTGTCAGCAGCAGAAGGCATATGTCCAGACAGAACAAAGAAGCACTTATTTTCACATTCCACTGATGATATTCAAGGATAATATCCTTGTGCAGTGTTAAAAAATTATTGTGCAGACAGTGTAGAAATTGTGGAAAATGTAATTACAATGAAATATTTTGTGCAGGGAATTTAGACTCCTGACATATATCCCAGTTCTAAAATGCATGCCAAATTCTGGATATTAACCCTTTGCCCATTATTGCACATAGTGAAACAAGACCCTAGATTTCTTCTTGTTTGCATCCTTACAAATTGTACTGCTTTTTTTTTTGATACTACGTAAAGCTAAGATGTTGTGCCTCAACATTTATCTAGCAATTCCTAGAAAAATCAATTTGTGTATAAATTTTTGATAAATCATTATAAATAAAATTTATAAAAGGAACTAGGGAGCTAGAGTGGAGAAAGAGAGAATATAAAGAAAAAATAAAAGTATCAGATGAGTGTACAAGGAAGATAACTCTAATATCTTGCCTGAAAAATGCAACTGTAGAGATCATGACATGTCACCTGCCCCGTCTTACAGAGGGAAAATTAGACAACTTACATCTGGAACATACATGGCATAAAGGACAGCTGCCTTTTTCTATTCATGGTAATACTTACTAGTCTTCTCATTACTCTCCTTCTACCATATATTTCTATGTAATCCACTGATAGGTCTCAAGAGCTGTCACACATGTACAAGCTCAAAGAAACCTCAAGAGAGCCTATTACCTGCTGGCTTCTCAAGTATTAGTTAGATTGCTTATGAAGAAACATTGCTGGTGAATACTAATAGCAGTTTCCAGAGTGGTATGTTCAATATTTGCAGAATTAACTAAATATTATGAGGTATTTAGTGTATATGAAAGAGGGTAGTACTTTTTGAATTGGATACCTTCCTAGTTTTTGATGGATGGCAGAGACAACATCTCTTACTGAACTCATTGAGACTGAAAAGCTTCAGCAAGAGATCTACCAAATCAAAGATGTTTCTGAGCAGAAATACTACTTGCTTCTGTTAACAGGCTCTCTAGAGTCTCCAACGTTTTTATCATCTTCTGAGTGGTAGAACAGGACTGTGGTACAGCATACAAGTGACCTGGGGTCAACTTTTGTCACTGTGCTTAGGGATTTGGTTGCTGGAACTGAGAGTTAGTATTCTGCTTCTGGGACTGAGCTCTTCAGCCATACTGCCTCTATGAAGCTTCATGCTGTTCAGCCTGTCAAATCAGAAAATGATTCTTTTAATCTTCTTTCATATCAGATAGTGCTTATCTTTCATATGCTCAAGAAAATCTCTGAGAATTGTCTGAAAAGCATTTTAATTTTCCTTGTTCTTTTACCCAAATGGTAGGCTATTGTGCTTCTTTTTGAATGTCTTCCTGCCCTGCATATTTCTTCCACAAAATGGAGATTGTCATGACATTACTTTGGATCTTACTTATTTGAGTGCTGAAGGAATGTGCAACTATTGTTTCTGCCTTCATCTTATTTTTCGAAAACTACGTTTTTGAAAACCATATTCCAAAAAGCTGGGTCTGTGAAATGGTGCAAAGGAGTACCAATGCGGTAATTGCCAAGAATGTCTTGAAAACCCTGCATTCCTAATGACTGATCCACACTTCACATGCACTGGCCTTTGTTTTCATTCCACAGTGGGCAGTGATGTTGACAATGAAGAAGGGAATGCAGATGAGAATGAAGAAAATGTCAAAGGTCAGTAATGTTAATTACTTTGTAAGGCCATATCAGATGTTTTCTGATTATCTGCAAGAATGAAGGAGGAGGAAAAGTCTCCTTCTAACATATTGCCCTCTCTCATGTGTTTTTTTCCCCTCCATCACAGATAAAGGAGGGAAGAGAGCAACACCGAGAACCAGAAGGGGACATGCTAGAGGGAGAGCCAGGTGTGGTGGTGAGGAGGATGATGATGATGAAGATGGTACAAGGAGAGCTGGGCATCGCAGGAACAGAAATCGTAGAGGACGTGGACGAGCAGCTAGAAATGAGGGCAGTGACTCTGAAGGAGACCCTACCAGGAAGAAACAGGCAAATGAGAAAACCACGGAAGGTGGTGAAGAGGAAGATGAAAAAGGGGGTAAAAGTGGGAAAGGCAAAGAGAAGAAACAGGACAAAAAGCCTGATAAGAAAGGGAAAAAAGAGAAGGCCAACAAGAAAAAGAAAGACAAAAAGAAATCAGGATCTGGGTAATTCAATTTTTTTTTTTATTTTTTTTTTATATATAAGACCATAGTTATCTTATATGAAACCTGCTTTCATTTATAGCTGAGAAATACCTGTAGTCAATATGACTCCCTTGCTCATTATAGCCCAGCTAGAACTGGAAAGATACCTTTTTCTTTCTGCAGTGAAGAAATGATGGCTGAATGTAAATGGAAAGCTCCCACAAATCCATATCCACTTCAGTAGAATAAAGTCAGGGTCACAGGTCCAGGGTGGGACCTCAGGAAATGACCAGTCAGGCCCTTCTGTGACTTCTGATACCCTGAGGATTAGGTCAAATCTGGACACGTAGAATAGGAACTCAAGCCAGGGTCACCCTTATTATAGTTAAATATCCTAAGTTTATGAGCAGCTCTCTGTAGAATGCATGTAAAAATAACAGAGGAGAGAAGCAAATAACAGAAAGATGTGACAACAGGTAAGACCCCTCCTACTTTTTCCTTTCATCAAAACTAAAATTCCCCAACCCCCAAGATGATAAACCTGCAAACACCCAAGGTCTAGTTTTATTTCCAGTGCAGAACTAAAATCTTAACACTTTTCACAGCATGAAGTTCTTTTTTCACAGTCAGGTTTGAGTTAGCTTTATATAAGAAGATCACTGGAATTGTGTATAATGGAGCAAATGCAGCTAGGCACACATCTCAGTGGAGACGAAGGGAGATTCCACTTCCCTCATTCAGCATTTGCTACAGCTGTTTGTATTCCCAAAGGCATCAATGGAGAGCTCAGCAGGAGTAAAAGGAAAGAAGGAAATACAGTGAGACATTCTGTTGCATTTATTTATCCATGATCCCATTTCAGTACACTTCTACTTCATTTCCCTTCCCTAAAAGAGTGCCTACCATCTTTCTTTTTCATAAGCTGGCTCTTCACTGTGGTGCCAATCATAGCCCTCTTCAATTTCCTGTACTCATACAGCAACAGTCCTAAATGGGTCAATCCATGTTCCTTTGCTTATTATTGTATTCCATTGTATGCATTTACTGAACATTAATTAAAAAAAAAAAGCCCCTGAAAATATAAAACTTAGTGAGGGCACAATGTTTTTAATTATCTTCCAAAGTTCTTAACATTAAAATACATGTTTCAGCTACTTAGAAATGCTACCTAGATTGACATTTTTCTTGGAGTAGTAAGCATAATGTTTAAGAAAAACCTGATGGATCTCTGGAATATACCTCAAAAACATTATATTATTTTTTTACTTTTTAGGGGACCAGCTGGCAAGAATGCAGAGAAATAAATATAAGAATATTTTAAAAGATTTTTAAAAGAAAACCAGAAAATGTAAGAAATGAAGGAAAATAGGCTGGTGGTCAGTTCAGCTGTGATTCAGACAAAGGATTTGTAAACCTTCAGTTCAGAAGAGAAGGGTGACAGCATAGAAATGAAACCTCTCTAGCAAGTTCATGAGGACCTATCACAGCAAATGCTTCCTACTGTTTAAATGTAAACCTTGCTGTTGTAGCTATTAAATAGCCAAGACATTTCAGCATGAAAAGCATGACAAAAGTAAAATAAGAAATTGAGAAAGAAAAAATAACCAAACAGGAAAAAAAAAAAAGAAAAAGAGAAAAAAAGAAAGTAAAACTAAATGTGATACTATTCCACACAGGGTGTTAATATTGAATTTGCTACTTCATTGTGGCTTTTGCCACATTATCCCAAAAATATCTGTGATAAATTGCTCGGTATAGACTCACTGTGAAGGACTATGATATCCCTAGGTTGAAAAGCTATATTCTTTATTGGCTAATTGTGACTGATTGGTCTTAGGTGGAAACCGTATGCAGTCACTTAAGATAAAAATCCCCAGAGAAGGAAACATATTCTGCCTAGCCTGTGCAACTTCTGGTTTTATTGTGTAGCTCTGTATGTGAGCAGATCAACTGTTTAGTAGAATTACTCCAGAGTATAAAGCTTATGCTTTTCCAGCTGTACATGGAAGATTAAAGCAGTACAAGCACTGCATCTTCTTGCTAGCAGGAACATTGCTGAAGAGCACTAAATGGAAGGGGATATTATGAAGATCATCAATAAACAATAGAATTTTCACACACACACACACACACACACACACACACACACACACACACACACACACAAATTAGTCAAATTTATTCACTCATCACTCCAGCCTCTTAAAGTCCTACCAGTCATTTCCTTGAAAATCTCCAAGCTCCAAGAAAAACATTTCACCTTATTTTTTACCTCTATAAAATGGCGTTTACAAAATACCATTTGACAAGTAGATGCTTCCATAAAGAGGAAATGAAACTAGAACCAAAATACAGATTTGTAATATGAGCATAAACCAAAACACAGTTTGATGATATGAGCAGTTTCATTATGTGTGTCATTTAAGGATGCACCATTGATTTCAACAGCTCCACTGACTTAGAAAAAGATGCATTGTATGGATTGAATTGGAGTCAAGGAAGATCAGGGCTTGATGTGAAACCTTTTAGTGATGTTTTATGCTCTGTGATAGCCTGAAGGTCACAGTAAATCTTTTTGCCCTTCAGATGTACAAATCACAACCTTTCATGAAAGGTATCCTGGCTTGAATCTCTCAGTGTTCAATCACTTGAGCTAAAGGCAAAATCTTCTGTAACCATATGAAGTTTGACTCTGTAGTGTAAACACTCTTCAAAATACTGATTTTTAAAAATGCTTAGAAATTTGGAATGTTATTATTTTCTTGGTTCCAAAGGAAAGTGAAAAATTAAAGATGAGATATGTTTACAAAGACAAAACTGTAGCTGGCAATGGGAGAAAGAGCCAGTATTATTCCTATTTTACCTCTTGTGTTCTGCCCAGATTCTTTTCCTCTGTAAACTCACTGCATCAGCACTTACCACTCATATTTCCCACTGCAGTCTTGTAAAACTGCATGTTTCCATTTTGTACAACCCAACAATCTTATTTCTTATTTATAAGGAAATCCTCAATATTGGGCACATTCCTGCCTGCCTGTAAATGTAAAATGCAAACCAGCTGATTGTAAAAGATATTGATTTAAAGGTCTCTCAAAATCTGACTGTTTTAATCCTTCTGTTCTTAAAGACATGACTCGTTCTTCATTATAATGCCTCAAAATCGTGTGCACGAATATTTTTATTTACCTTCATCAGTTTGTCTTAAATTTTCATATAGTTCTTAACTTGCTGGTTGCAATACTGGGATAACAATAGATCTGCCCAGTGTTCAGTAGCAGTCCTTTCTGTAGATTTATATTTTCTGTGGCACAATTTTTTATCATGAGATCTTGTGGCTAATGGGTTCAACTTTCTAACATGACAGTCTTTTCAATAACATTTGAGTCTTCAATAGCAGGGCATCTGATAACTATGAAAGCCTCTTTCTTTCCTTTGCCAAGTTACTCCTGCATATCTGAAATTTTTAAACTGATCTCTGGTATCGTGTGCTATAGTGATGTATATTTCATGAAACTGAAGATGGATGACCAATGACATACTTGTTTTTTGCTGTGTTGCGAGAATTTTGCTTTTATTGTAATTGTTTGTTTTAAAAATTTTCATTCATATTCTTGCAGATAAACTCTTTTGTCCTTTATGTCATACAGATAAGCCGTTTGACCTTTATGTCACACTGTTTTGGTCAAAGAAGAAGAAGTTTATAATTTTTTAATTATGGAGAGGATAGAAACTATGCAATTAGGTGACTTAAGTAATGAAACATTCAGCTTTGACTTCAGATTTTGAATATCAAACCCTCAGAAATATAAATTATAAGCAAAACAATCTGAAAACTATTGCTTGATAAAGTCTTAATGAGCTGTTCCAAAACAATCTACAAAATATATATATATATATATATATATAAAGCAGTACGTTTTCAAACATTCAAAACAAAAAAAGAAGGCAAAGAAAGGCAAAAGAGAAACAGAAATGTATTGAACTGTTTTTACTAAGAGCTCAATGGCAGTCATTGCTGTCAGCTTTTTAGGACAGGAATTTAGAGTCTAATAATTTCCTTTTTATTATTTTTCTGTTTGCTGGTGTAAGAAGAGGAAACACTTGTTGCTAATGATTTGTTACATACAATTATGAGATGTAAGATTGCTCACAGAAAAGGATACTATGCAAGTTTTAGGGAAAGTGGCCGTTGCTTTCCAAATGCTTTCCAAATCAATGTTTTCCAAAGCTGCTACAAACCGGTGCATGCAGAAGTTCAGATTACAAACACAACACATCTGGAGATGCCAAATACTATTGTGTCTGCTTACCTCAAGTGGTAGGACACATCAAAACCTTGCTGCTACGTGGCTTTGAATCCTTCCCATCTCTGAAATGCTACTGCCTTGATCAGTGGATGGGCTGTTCATCAGGCATTTAAACTTGTCTTTGCTGTGGCTGTGGCATCTCTTCTCATTCTTGTGGCACACTGCAGTGGGGTGAACAAGTTCATTTTTATGGCCTCAGTCAAGTTTCCTCACATGACTGAATTTAAGTTGAACTCTTAGGAGGCTGGTTAATCCTGAAGGAACAATCGGTGGCTGTCAGACACTTCCGCAGGAGCCCTGCCCACTCTCCATGGGATGCTCTTAGTGTAGTGCTGGTTCAGTGGTAGCTCTGCACTTTGTGTGTGGGCTTTGCCTTTCATACTGAAATTAACAAGTCTAAGTGAACTGTGTCCTCCCCCCTGTGCAACTGTGAAGGCATTTGTCTAGGTCTGAAGAAGAATTAACACCAAGCTTCAGTGAATACTTCTGTCCTTTCTGAGTTTTGGTGATGTTTTTTCTTCCTGCTTTTGTTTGAAGCTCTGATTCTGACTCTGAAGAGGAACCAATTACAGAGGAGGAATTGGCCAAGTTGAAAGAAGAGGTAGAAGAAAAAAAGAAACTAATTGCCACACTACGAAACAAGCCATGGAAGATGAAAAAGAAGTTGTCTGTCCTGAAGTATGATTTGATTACTATAATGAGTATCTGCCATCCTGCTTTGCACTTCGCACTGTTTTTCTGAACTTTTAGGGTTTTTTTTAGACATACTGGTATAATTAACTTCAAACCACCTCTAATCTCTCTTTTCCATCGTGTGCTTTCACAGAAAGTGGAAGTAAATGGCATCGCAGATCAGGGCTTTCTTGTCTCTGTAAACCTGAAATGAGATATGAAAAACAAATATTTTTCCTGTTTAAATTTCCATTACACCACCCTCTAAAATCTTTCATGTTTCTTGAGTTAGGAAAATTTGATAAATTCTTCCATGAATAAATTTAATATTCAAGAAAAATGATGCTATTTCAAGAATACCTCAAGATTACTGGGGTAGGAAGAGAGGATTTATATTTCTTTTTTAACTTTTTGGAAAGAATAACAGATTTTTTTTTTTTTTACTTACAAAAAAACAAACTAATTGGAAAATGATTAAAATGATCTCATGCATTTTAATGTATGCCACACATAAAACTACATAGCAAACCTATCACTCTATTTTTTTTAAGGTTAAAAATTACGTTTCCGGCAAACAGAGGTAACTGGGTAAACACAGAAAACTTTATTCGTTTGCCGAAACTGCCAAAATTATTTTTTGCTCCTCTGTTTTGAATAACTCATTTGCTGTGATACATAGTCCAAGGGCAGTCCAAAGAGACTTCTGGGCTTTGGTTGGTAACGGAGGTTGGAGCAGAGACAATTTTTCCTTCTGTCCTTCCAGTTGTGGGTACTACAGGCTGCTGATCAAGGGGAGCCTATTGACAAAGCTTTCTTATTCCAGTTGCAGGAGGCATCATGCTTGCAGGCTCTTATCCTGCTGAGAGACTTCACTAACACCCAGCATCAATACAGACTGGTGGATGGAGGGATTGAGAATAGCCCTGTGGAGGAGGACTTGGGTGTACTTGTGAATGAAGGCTAGACATGAGCTGCCAGTGCATGCTTAAAGCTCAGAAAGCCAGTAATGTCCTGGGCTGCATAGAATGAGGCATGGACAGCAGGCAGAGAGAGGTGATTCTCCCACTCTGCTCTGGTGAGACCCCAGTTGGAGTACTACATCCAGCTCTGGGGCCTCCACGTAAGAAGGGCATAGACCTGCTGGAGAGGGTCCAGAGGAGGGCCACAAAATTGTTCAGATCTGGAAGACCTCTCCCATGAAGAGAGAATGACTGAGAGAGCTGAGTTTTTTACCTTGGAAAAGAGGAAGTTCTAGCAATCCTCAGTGAATGCTACACTGCTGTACATTTTTTGTCTCTGAGGTGGGCTTTAAACCAGTAGTGAATTTTCAAACTCCTACCCTTGTTGTCTGCCTTTTTATCTTAATGACTTTTTTGCTCATATTCAGGGTGGAGTGGGCCTTGTACATTCAGCATGGGCAGCAACTGTACCTAAGAGTCGATTAGTCTAGTAACTTCTAAATTCTTATATTTATGAAATCTAGCCTGGAAACTAGACAAGCATTCCGCTTTATTTGCTGACATTAGAAGATTTGTTTTAGTAAACAAGATGCATCAATGTGTTTTTACAGCAGTTTGCAAAAATGTTTTTTTTTTTTTTAATCCTTTGCTACAGCCCTCTCTGAAGAAGGCCTGGAAGCATAATATCAGCTGATCTATACTAGAAAAATGTGTATTCCAAAAGCAAGTTACAGTTCTTCAGATCAGTTTATTTATTTTGAATCTACTTTTAGTAACTTAAGAATTACATTTATTACTATGTTTCTCTGTCAAATAAAATTTCAATAATAGTCACCTTTTATTTAGAGTGTTGCAGTTCTGGCGGAGTCCTGCATATATCAGCAGAGGAAATATATAAATTCAGCATACATCTGGAATGAAAAAATAAAAGCTAAAACCCAATTATTTGGTGACATTTTTAAACCTGAGTGCTGAGAATTAGGCCTTTAAATCTGTGTTTAGCGTCTTAAAAGAAAATAAAGGAATTAGAAAGCACTCAGAACTTTTAAAAAGTTGAGCCCAATCATTTACATACCAAAATAGAATCAGAGACTAATTTTTCTAGGGTCCTGTTTATGTAATTGTCTCTCTGTAGTCTAACTTCAACTAAATTGCAATGTAACGCAGTGTTACTATACTGCTTAAAATAAGAAGTAATATCTAATCAATGAATGGGATTTTACGACTGTAGTTGCAGAAGTGCTTATATCAGGACTTTTCAGGGAGTCTGTGTATTTGTTTTGTATTTTAGCAAGACATATAAGATTTATACCAGAATCATTAGTTGGATTGGCATTATTCATGTACCTGTGAAAAATGGACAAACTTTGTCTTAAAGTCCTTAAACCTGTAAATCAATAGTGTGACTTTGAGTACCCTTATATGAGCATCTCTTCTTGTTGAAAATTTTGGTCAACATTTATTATTAGCAAATATTTCTTTGTCATCCACTTCTTCCTCTGTGCAAGATTTAGGGTATTATGGGGTATGGGGGGAAAAAAAGAAACCTATCTAGCTTCTTAGAGATAGAACAAGAAATGTCCCTAAGGTCCTTTCCAGCCCTAACTATTCTATGATTCTATGTTTCTATGATTCTAATTTTTTTTTTTTTTTAAGAAATGTTAATTTGTCAGAGCTCTCCCCTATTTTGGGGTAAATTCCACTTAATTTTGTGTTATAAGAAATTGATAAGTAAGTATAGGGTAGGAAAGATTATTTGTATTTAGCTCTAGTTACCACTTGGTAAAATAGTTAAACTTTTCCTTCAGTCTTTGTTCTTAAAATGCATGAATGAACAATAACTTTAGAACACAGATGCAGAACTATATGGTATCTATAAAATGCCTTCTGTCAAGACCTAGCTTAAATGGCATTCTTAATAGAGCTGCACTGGCAAATTAGATCAGCTCTAATTTCTAATTTACATCCCTGTGTCTTGAAAGATGCATTTCAAACAGCCCCTGATTGTTCTCTGAAGAACCATAGCTGAAGAAACTGCTCTGCTGCAGAGTGTTCCTCTGCAGTTTGAAGCTGAACTGTACTGGCACTGTCAGACTCTCACCTCACCTTGAGGTCAGATCGTTACAGGTCTGGAGATGTGAAAAAAGTGAGGAACAAGCCCTGAAAAGGTGTGCAGGAAACTGCATCACCATTCTCCAAACTCTGAAGAAACAGAGGTTAAGCTGTGGGATGGGGACATAGTGGTCTGTGCTGGTGAGAGCATACATGCACTTGGAGTCCAGAAAGGTTTTCTTGTTCTCTTCATTTTTTTTCCTACTGGTTTAATGGTTGGTGAGTACTGCTGTTGTGTCTTTTCAATGGGAGGTAATTTTTCCTCTTGATGCTGCCTACTCAGGCAACCTTTTGGCCAGGACAAAATAACCTGAAGAGCCAATAGACGATAATGACTATCAATCATTACTTACAACACTGAGATTTAGAAAGGGGAATAAACTGTTGAAAATATTTTTGGATTAGAAAAAGACACAAAAAATAAAACTCATGGGCACTGCTTCAACTGTTGAAATTGGAAAACCTCCAGGGAAAGATATCCTAATTTACCTCTAAGGGTTTGATTTTTGGGGACTGCATCCCTGTCTGTTCATTCTCTTGGTCAGGTTTTGCACAGGTATGAAGGAAAGGGAAGGTTTAAAAGCCGTGCTACTGTGTTTGGCTCTGCTATACATATTTCACTCCCCTTATTAGTGTGTATACCTGTTTGGATGGCCAAAGTTTGTGCTATAGAATACCAAAGGCTAGTAACAACTACACAGTTTGTATCCACCAGCAAAGCCTATTATGTTACCATATAATCAGAGACCTGAACACAAGTCCAGAAATGTACCAATAGAGGTCTTACTTTAAAGCCAGTTAACAAACTATCACAACAAGCAAAATGACAATATAAAAATTAAAAAAGCAGTCAAATATCAAGCTTAGGCTTTTTAAAGGACTTCCAATTAAATACAGATTTAAAGAGAGACATGACAACTTTTTGGCTTTTTCTAAGAAAAACAGTAAAGAGCAGAGTAGTCTCTGCTTCATCTGCCAGGGAGAGAATATAATGTGGCAATTTTTCAGTATTTCTTAACGTCGTTTATTTTATTACATGACTTAGATTACCCATCAAAACAGATGAATTGGAAAGGAAATATTTTAAAGTATATATACAAAACCCAAAGATACATAAGGTACATGTGTGGGATGGCGGAATTTTCTCATCTTTGGATGCCCTCTTTGTACTACAGTGAATCAGTATTTTATCTCTCTTACTATGGACATACTGGATGTTCTGGAGGCCAGCTGGGTATTAAATAACACCATAATTTGCCCATTATTATCACTGAACTGCTTTTCAAGTGAGCTGTGCCTGACAACAGTTGTTTTGCAGTCAGTTTTTAGCCAATCTTTTTAAGAGTTGAAGAAGTCCTGGGTAATCAGTATTAATAAGACATTTCTTTTTAATGAGTTTTTGGATCTTGGAGACTGAAACCTTCCTGAACTGTTACTGAAAAATGTGAGCAATCCACTTGAATCCTATTCATTAGCAACAGCCTCTGAGAGCTGTAATGCATCCTCCCTCTGCAACACTGAAGTGCCCATAGCACTGTACACCTAGCACTTTGGGAGCTGTAACTCCACACCTGGTATTAATAATTAACTCTGGCTTCTATGGGACAATAATGCCTGACCCCATGCAACATTTATTAGTTCCTTGTGTCTGTAATTCAATTAATAAGGTTTCTCAGAAGCTTCTTTAAATTCACGGTTAGCTAACGGGGCACACTTTGGCCTATCTTGTAATATAGATAATTTACCTATAACACATGATACCAGTGATTACAAAGCTCAGTTTTGTTGCTCTGTGTTGGTTTTGACACGTCCTCATGTTAGTGAAGTTTCATTACTTCCAAATAGGTAAGCATAGACATGTATGTGGCTTTGGATGTTGTTGTGATTTCTAAAACAGTTCTGTGGGTTCAGAACTGCTTTTTATTGCTTGATCAT